TGTCGTTTTCAGACTTTGCAATGTGTTTCTTTAAACTTGTGTCAGAGTTGTGTTTGTGTTTTAAGTTTGTTTTGTAGACACACAAAAGTCCYGCTTAAAAGTCAGTTTTATTAAGACTTCATTAAGTGACGCTGCAGSTTTATTTCAAATAACTTACTGTCAGGTAAACTCAAATCTGGGTTTGTAAATGATTAAAACACCACCTGCTGGTGCAATGAGACCAAAACAGATGAACCCTGATTTTCAGATGATGTTTGGTTTCAGGGAACAGGAGCTCTCAGTGACTGCACCTTCTCATGAGTTGGAAGAGACTGCAGGAACACAGCTGATAACCTGCTGAAGTTTCAGAATATTATTCTATACTGACTCAGATTAACCTTAAAATCTTTATATTGGATTCCATGTTTTAGCACAATTTCTATACCTTCACACTCCAATCAGAGCACTGAGATTTATAAATAAATGAATAAATAGATTTTAAACGTCCTTCTCAGGTCTTGTTTGTGTCATTGTCCCATTTCCTACCCAAGTCCAGCAGAAGGGTCGAACATTTCCTCCCCTTTGCGTGTTTTTTCCGCTGCAGTTTTGCAGTGAAAGTGACCTTCACACGTTAAAAGCCCGTGGCGGAACAAACCGCTGCCCCCACCACCATGACACCCATACCTCCTCCATCGGACCACCACAGCTGCCTGGCACACCCAGCAGCGTGCCAGATCCTCGGTGCGGCGAGAGACGGAGCCGGACACTGCGAGTCTGTTGTTCGTCACAACAGCTGGCATTTATCTAAGATTAACGTCGATTCAGAAGAACAACAGACACAGATCCMGTCAGAGCGGAATCACAACAAATGTGTGTGTGAAGCTGTGAGGAAGGAAGGAAAAGTGTGCTTTTTAACAACATTTATTTTGTGCCAACAAAGAATAAAAAGCATATTTTTGGACAGTGATGAGTGAGGCAACACGGGCAATTTTACTGTTTTTTAAATGTGATTTTAGCTGATTTTCACAGCTTTAATTCATTTTTAAACACATTGATGTTGAAATGTTTTCTAGATAATAATCAAAATTCTCACCTGTGGAACAGGTGAAGCACAGAAAATGCTCACCAAACAGTCACGTGTATTTTAAAGCCTGAGCATATGTGCACCACGCCTGCCAAGCTAACATGTACAAAAACGCTGCATGTTGTGTGCACCATTTGTCGCYTTTAGCTATTGGAAGAAGGTCAGATATGAACGATTAGACTCTGGAAGCCGCGATATCCGAGGCTCCAAATGTCGGTTCTACACTGGTTCAGGCCTCGGGCTTCACTGGGAGTGAGCCAGAGCTCCTGCACCCTGACCAAAGCCAAAACCCTTGGGTCCAAAGTTCTTTGCGTAGCAACCTGTAAAAACAATTTCAAAGACTGACAAAAAATAAAGACAAATAAAAAGACAACAATATAATATATTTAGATCCATACAAATTTATGAAGATAAGCCACAATAAAAGGGACAGCTTGTTTTGTTTTGGCAAGACTTGCWTTTTGTCAAAGTGATTATGAACRGAGACAAACTGCTGATTAATAYGTCAGTGATTTAGTGAAACCCTYAGAAAGTAATAACTGAATGCTTGTTTGTAACTCATTAACAAGAACTAACCTGATTCAAGATCACAGTTCTCTGACAAGTGTTTGCAATATTTACAAGTTTCTTCTTCAATCCTTTAAAGGGGCAATATTATGTGTTTCTCAGGCATATATTTAAATATTATACCATAATAAAGTTTATATGTCACCTTTAGCTGCTATTAAAATGCTGTTTTTATGTTTAAATAGACAATAAACTTATCTTCTCATCACTTCCTCTTCTAAACATTACGTGATATAAAACTCTAAAAGTTGATTTGACATGATATATCTCCTTTAAAACATTTTCTTGTGTGCTTGGAGTCGAAATGTTGAATCTAATTTCTCCTGGTGTTTATATCTTTATATTCTGTTTCAGTCATATTTGTCAACCTGTTCAGTTTTTCCCGTTACGTCTCAGTATTTGCAACGAAACTATAGAAGCTTGGGTGGGGGAGTGGTGTGAATGTTTCCATCAGTGTTTTTTTGTGCATTTTAAAGGATCACTTTAGGAAAGATAGATGGAAACAGAAAAATTTGAAAAAAACTTTCTCAGTTTTGCAAAAACGTTTTTATGCTCACTTGAGGTGTTTTTTTTGGATTTTCCCAAAAGGGGAGATGGAAACACTTTTGCTGAATAAGTTCTGAAAAAGCTAAAACAAGCAAAATCATAGCTAAAAGCTAAAATAAGTCAAATTCAGCAACAACACATCTTCTCTAAAAGCTAAAATAAG